ACTGTTCCCATGAAGCACATGGCGCGGGTAACTTTGTCTTGCTTGTACAATAAAGAGACACAAGTTCAATCTTAAATTTACAACTTAGCGCGACTTTCAAGCTGCTCAACAATCTTTAAAAGGCCAGATTTTTTTTATATAAATTATAGAATTCACGCAGCTTTCTGTTGGAACTAGAAAAAAAAATCGTGGTCATAACAAATTGTTGTAAAAGTCCTCACAATTTTGATGTGTCCCATTGCATATTTCTATTTATAATGAAAGTGTAAAAATAAGTTCATGGTCATAACAGATTCTTGTATAATCACCCTTAGCTTTTGTATGTGTCCTGACTACTCATTTCATTTTCTGGAATTTTAAGAAGTTCCGGTTTTGTTATGCTGTCTACAAAAATCCCCACTGATTATAAATCAGGTTATAGGATTTACTATGGAACACGTATAGCCCTGTACATTAATACTCATTCGTGATATTATGAAAACTTATTTTCGCTAATCTGTAATTTATTTATTTTCTCTAGTTTTTATCTGTATAATTTATTTTAAGTAGAATGAATGCTTAGTTTAGCTATTTATTATTTTATGTGATAACTTACTTCTGTATTAAAACACACTGTTAACTCATAAGATATAATTGAAACACATTGACTCCCGTATACGTAGAACGATTCTGTTATGTTGTCGCCCAAATGGCACAGCGGTATGTCTGGGACTTACAAAGCTAGAATCCGGGTTTCGATACCTGTGGTGAGCAGAGCACAGAGATCCCATTGTGTGACTTTGTGCTTAATTACAAGCAAACTGTCATGTTTGAATGTTTTGATGGAGAGAACATTTTATATGTACTTATAACAATATTAACGTTTTTTTTTTAAAAAAAGAGAATTTTTTCAGGTAAAAAGTAGAGATAAAACTAAGAAGAATATAATTAACAGAAGATTAAGAAAACTAAGAAAATGTTAAAAAAAAGATAATAAAAAAACACTAAAAACTGTGGGATAAGCTTTTTCTTATACTGAATGATACCCTAATCACCTAACATTCTATTAAAATAAACACAATAATTTCATTATAACTAAATGTTATTAAAAGTTTATGAAAGCCATCGATTGTAAATGGTATTTTGAGTCTTAAAAGCGCCTTATAAGAAATGTGGATTAAACGGCCAGGACAGAAACCACTAAGACTCAGACATAGAAACCCGTATGTTAGAACTAGTCTTCCAAGACAGTTACTTTGTAAGAAAGTATCACTCTTCAAGACCGTTACGTTGTAAGAAAGTACCACTCTTCCAAGACCGTTACTTTGTAAGAAAGTACCACTCTTCCAAGACCGTTACTTTGTAAGAAAGTACCAATCTTCCAAGACCGTTCCGTTGTCAGAAAGTACCACTCTTCCAAGACCGTTACTTTGTAAGAAAGTATCAATCTTCCAAGACCGTTCCGTTGTC